AGGAAAAAGGCAATATTTACCACATCACTGCACGACACAACACTTGTGCTTATTTGCATTAGGTTTACCTGGACCTGTGGTCAACCGAAAGAACAAGTAGACCGGCTGGAAACACACACACACACACACACACACACACACACACACACACACACACACACACACACAAAAATAAAAACATTAAGAACACTAGATGTGTGTTTATACATGTCTAGAGTTCAGCATTTGTAGCAGTGTTTATGAACTGATCAGTAATGTCTGGCTCTGCTTAACTACTGTTGAGCTTAATGAACGCTTCAGTCTGCAGTTATTATAAAGGGTTACAGCAGGGCTTGACATTAACTTTATTGATCACCAGCCACTGTGGCTAGTGGTTTCCCAAACTTACTAGCCACTTGCCATTTTCACTAGCCACAGTTCACAGTGTCGTTGTGAAAATCTATTTTATACACATTTGACTTTGCTCAAATGACTTGATGCAGATGTTGTGTTGTGTCCACACGCCTCCTCATTTCACTTCATATGTGTTGTGTTCTGTATGAGCTCGCTCAGTGAGCAGGAGCGAATGAGCTGTGCTTTCAGTGTCGGATTGCAATTAGTTTTATTCCACATGACTTTTCAGGGCTCAACACTTTAGGCTCGTACACACCGGGATGCTTTTCATTTGCGTTTATCGTCAGCGTTTTTCCAGATTCAAACCCAAGCGATTTTCACTGGCGTCGAGCAGAAGAGTATGCAAAATCACTGCTTGCCATTAGATGGCGCTACACAACCTTAAGCTTCTGACACCTGCTTGTAACACAGAAGACAGAAAGTCGACACGCTTGTTGTTTTGGATGGTTCAAGTCGCAGCTGCAGCTCTAGCGATTTATTTTATTTTATTTTATTCGCTTGTTTATTTTACAGGGACAATACACTTGACATTGTTATACAAAGATAACTGATGTTGCGTACATAGGGCATATAGCATAAAGCTAATTTGCAGCCCTTGTCCCTGGTTAGGCTTTACATTAAAATTAATAACAGTCAAGAATAAAACACAATGCAGCAAACATGTACAATATTTACACAGCCACAAACATAAAATGCAAGTCAATATGCATGAAGAGAAATGTAAATGGGAGCAACCTGAAAGAACAATGCTTAATGCTCACATTGCTGTAAAGATTTCAACCATTCTTTCAGCTTTACAGATGAAGAAATGATTATTGTTCACAGAGCAACATGCAGCTCCACGTTCATATCGCCTCTGGGCATCGTCAACAGTGTGCGCTCGCATTGACAGTTTTGCGCTTGAGCGCCTCCAAGTGCTGTTTACTGTAACTGCAGCTGCTCTGTGCACGTGAACAAAAGTGCCGATCTGATTGGTGGAGAAGGCACGTCAAAACAAAAAAACGAGCATGAGGCGTTTCTTTAAAAATGACGCTTTTACATGTGGCCTATTGCGCAATGATGTGCGCAATCACATTGGCGTAATTTATTTAGTCACCAGGCGTTAAACGTGGACAGAAAACGCCCGGGCCTTTATGCTGAGTTCACACCAGACACAGAAGAAGCGTCAATTGTTAAGTCAATGCAAAGTAGCGAACAGACATCCTGCGGCGCGATATGCGGGAATTGTGCGAATGGCGCAGCGTGAATTGAGCGTTTTGCGCATTTGACACACTTAATGCGCGTTTCGCTCAAGTTCGCAAATCTGAACTTCAGCAGACATTCGCACCGTGTCAACCAATCAGGAGCTTGCTCTTGTAGGGGCGGGATTATAACAAAGTGCCTGTTGTTGGTGTACCGGGGGAAATGCTCCTGCACACACCAACAACAGTTCATCAAAGTGGGCTCAGTCAGAAGCACCGCTGAAAGCCTCCATCATCCAAGATAAGTTTCTGGAGGAGTTGATGAACTCACAGAGCTGGGTGCACCTCTGAAAGGATCTAGTGGACTCAGGCCGTACTCACACTAGGTACAGTTGCCTCGAACCGGGCCAAAGCACGCTTGTCCCCCCTCCTGTCTCCCCCGACGGCCCGCGCTCACACCACAAATGGGCCTCGGCACGCTTACGTCATCGCTGCTGCGCTGTTCAGTGACAAGCGCTCTCTCACTCAGCAGCACAGTGGAGATTTCTCTAGTTATATCGGTTCAGTCGTTTGTTTTGCCGTCAAATATTTCGCCAAACAGTCCTTAGGGATGCGGGGACACGCAGTCAGATATTTCCCCGAACAGATCCGCCACTTTTGGTGCTCATAAACAACCATAAAGCTCTGGTGCTGCAGGAATGAGGAGGTGTGCTGAAGGTGCAGCTGTCGTGCAGTGAGGAGTTTGCATCTTTAATAATCTATGGCAGTTTGCGTTCACTGAACAGTAAGAATTATTAATAAATCATTTCAGTTTCGGGCTTTGGCGTGTTTTGCACTCACACTTAAAGCGTACCGCGCCAAAGCCCAAGTGATCCGCGCTCAGGCACACCTCTTCCAACCGGGCCAGGGCCGGCCAAGTGAACCGTGCTTGAGCCCGATTCAGCGCACTCACACTTCTCAAACGATCCGGGAAACGGGCCTGGGCACGGTACGGATGGCATAGTGTGAGTAGGCCCTTAGACAAGGCCCTAATTGTATCGACGCTGTTTTTCAGCCTTCATAAAGCACATAAACACTGCATTTCACTCAATTAAATCCATGTTAGCCATTTAGCAGAGCTAGAGTCAGCAGGCAGACAGAAGCCCTGCCCATCACGCGAATATATGGTGAAGTGAACTTGACGTGAGAATGAAGTGGATTTGACAAGAAAAGGAAGCAGATTTTAACGCGTGAATGAAGTAAACTTGAATGTTCAGAAAAAAAAAAAAAAACACATGCAAAAGAATACCAGTGAAAAGATGATCACATACACGGTTAATGCTGGACCTACTCATTTATTTTATTTTCAGTTTTGTCCCTAATCCGGGGTCACCACAGTAGAATGAACCGCCAACTTATCCAGCATGTTTTACACAGCAGATGCCCTTCCAGCTGCAACCCATCTCTGGGAAACACCCACACACACTCATACACTACAGCCAATTTAGCCAACCCAATTCACCTGTACCGCATGTCTTTGGACTGTGGGGGAAACCGGAGCACACTGAGGAAACTCACGCAAACACAGGGAGAACATGCAAACTCCACACAGAAACACCAACTGACCCAGCTGAGGCTCAAACCAGCGACCTTCTTGCTGTGAGGCGACAGCACCATATCCTGCGCCACTGCGTCGCCCCTAAACCTCTGTCATATTTTTGCAAATGTTGTAATATATCATCATTTTAAAGATTACATCTCGAGCATCTGATTATTCTCTGTCTCTCAAAATATACAGTTAGATTAAAAAAGGAAATATTAAAGAGGAAACATAAGTTTGATCTATCAATGTCTTAACGAATGTCCTTAAATAATGGGGCGTTTGACAGCAAGCATCATGAGACTGAAATCAGAATAAGGGATGACGGGGCAGGGGGTGCTGGATATGTGCGTACCTTGGAATTAAATCGTGCATCTACCTGCATTGGGCAGGTTGGCAGGTGGTAATGTCAAGCCCTGGTTACAACAAACTGGGTATTTCTGAATATGTGCATGTGTGTGTGTGGAGTTTAGAGCTGTACCTTGTGGTCTCCCATACACACGTTGGCTCCGATGTTGTCGTATGTTATTGATTTGTCCTCGTTCTCCGGCTGAAAAACACAAACAGGATTAAAGACACAAAGCAGATGAATAAAGCAGATGAGTCCAGCAGAGACTGAGAGATGATCCTGTTACACCAGCGCAGATCCATCATCTATACATCACACACACACACACACACACACACACACACACACACACACACACACACACACACACACACACACACACACACACACACACACACACACACACAGATCACTCACGCTGCAGACGCTCAATGGAGAAAAATGCTCTCAATGGAGACAGACTGAAAGATGAAGCACACTCACACACACGCACACACATAGACAGACCCACACCCATGCATATACTCAGTGAACACACACACACGCATGCACATATGCATAAACAGACCCATGCACACACACAGAACACACAACTGCACACACAGAACACAAACCCACATGCACACACTCACATCCTTCCAGATACACACACGCACACACAGATGCATGAGACAGACCCACATGCACAGATGCAGACAGACACATGTGCGCACACACAGAACATACAAACGTGCACGCACAGAACACATACCAACACGCATACAATCACATGCACCTACACACACACACACACACTGAAAAAAAAATATTCAGAGATGATTTCTTGGATTTACTCATTGTTTCATGTAAAGTGGCTGTAAACATTTTGTTTGGGCTGAATTTAAACAAACAAATAAAGTTGAATTTTATTACATTTGTTTGTTTTAATTCAACATAAATTGTTTGAAACAGTTCTGCTGACATCATTTTCTTCAGTGCACACAAACACACGCACACACACTAAACACACACAGATGCACACAGACAAACCCACACACAAACGCATATACTCACTGAACACACACACACACACTAATACACACTAACACATATGCACACAAGCACACACTGAACACAAACACACAAATGTAGTCAGACACACACACCCACAAACACACTGAAAACACACACAGATGCACAGACAGACCTGCATGCACACATAACGCACACACAGAACATATACTGTACACACACGCACACACACATGCATATAAACACACACTGGATATACACGGATACACAGACAGACCCACGCACACGCACGCACGCACACACACGCACGCGCGCACACACACTCCCACACCCACACACATGCAAACAAACGCAGAACACACACACACACTAAACACACACAGAGAGACACACTAAACATACACACTAAACACACACGCACATATGTACACACAGAACACACAAACGCGTGCACTCACACACACACACACAATACACACACACACAC